CTGCCTACAAGGAAAGGCCTCCACACGTCACAGCGGCGGCAGCGGCGGCCTTGTTTGGAGCTGACAGTGATGCAGGCCCCTGGCAGGCAGGCAGGCAGGCTGGGAGATGGTTTGCCTGGAAGAAACCCCCCTTGTCCCCCAAAGTCACATGGCAGCAGCTCAGGCCTGAGGAGCCAGGATGGCTGAGCCTGGGTTTGGGTGGGATCTGGGGAGATTTATGGGGCTGGGGAGGCACAGGCCACAGCTTGCCCAGCAGATACCTCAAGGGCAGGTTTGCAGACACTGAGGATAAATGGGAGTGTCCTCACCCCGGGGGTTCAAGACACAACCCTCTCGTGCTTCCAGGGCCTCTCCCACCCAGAAGGGACAGCTACACTCAGACAGGGAGGAGGCTGGCAGCCTGGCAGAGCTGGGTCCTTGCAACCTTAGCTCACAAAGTCTCAGAGAACATTGTCCAGGGCTCCTTCCTCACAGACTGCAGTGATTGCTGGCTTGGGTGCATCCACACTGTTCCAGGCCACACCCTGAAGGGTGTTGGTCCCAGCTCCCCGGCAACTGGTGCTGGGAATGAGCATCACTGTGTGCCCGACGCCCCATGGGAGGTTTTTGCCCTGATTGTCTTAAATAGTTTGTCCTCACAGCAGCCCTTAGAGGAACTCCCTCTGGCCTTACATTATTGATGGGAACACAGGCTCCGAGAGGCTGAGGTGTGGTACCCTGAGAAGCGGAGCAGGGACAGGAATCCAGGCCTCTCTGGAGCTGGCTGGGACTGTTTGGAAAATATGGCACCTGATCTCTGGCTCCTCACCCGCCCCAGCCTCTAGGCTGGGTGGAGTGGAGCAGGGGCTGGGGAGGTAGTAGCCGCTACAGGTAAAGGGGCTGGTTCATGTCCCAGCCTCCCAGCTGACTCACTGCTCCCCTCTCCCTCCCTTCTGTCTGTTTATCCTTCACTCTGCAGCCAGAGAGATCGGTTTGAGTTCAACTCTGTCCTGTGATTTCCCTGCTTAGAACCCTCCATGGTTCCCACCCACCCAGGAGAAATGCCAGACTCTCACCTGGGCCTACAAGGCCCACAGGTCCGGCCCCAGCTCCTTTTCTGACGTCATCTCTTCTACTCTCTTCTCATGAATGATGTTTCAGCCACAAGCCTGCTTTTATTTCTACTCTCGCTCCCAAATGAGCCATTATACACGCCGATCCTTCTACCTGGGACCGTCTCCCTTTTCGCAGAAAAACACACAGTAGTTGTGAGCATAGGGCTTGGAAGAAGTTGACCGGGGTTGAAATCCTAGCTCCCACTCACCGATTGAGTGTCCTTTTCTTCTCCGGACCTCGGTCATCTCACCCAGCAAATGGGCTCGCCTTCAGGATTAATGAGACAATGCGTGGAAAGTCAGTGGGGAGAGTCACCATTTCCTGGCCTCCCGCCTCTCTGACCAGAACTCTCCGGGCTAGTGGAGCTGGCAGGAGTTCCAGCCACCTCTGCTTTCGAGAACTTCCCCCACCCACAGGGGCCTGAACGCACCCTTGTGCTGGCTGAGTCATCCTGCAGCCATCCCCCTGAGGAAGAAGACTCCTCTTCAGTGTGGGGCCAGGCCCGGGGGAGGCGCCCCTCCCCCTGAGCCTCTTTCTTTGTCTGTAAGTAGGGATGACAATGCCTCCGTCTCACCAGGTGCTTGTGAGGGTGCCAAGAGCTAGTTGTGGGTAAAGCACTGAGCCTAGGCCATGTCACAGAGGAAGTATCTGTGAGGAGAGGGGGCCCGAGCAAGGCCTTCAGGAGGAGTGGGATGGAGGACAGGCCTGTGCAAGTACCAAGACCTTATGAGTGAACATTAATGGTGGCAGGTGGCTGCGGGTGTCATGCTCCAGAACATTCCTCAGGGCAGCTTATTGCAGGGTAGGTCAGCTCGGGCAGTGCCCACACCAGGACTCCAGCTAAGGAGCTGCCAGCACCTCAGTGTTGTCCACTCACTACTGAGCACTAGCGAAGCTGAACCTAGCCAGGTTTCCAGAAGACCCCACCCCCACCATAGGAACAGGGTGATTGGCAGCTCCGGAGGCACAGCAGAGCTCTGCTGAAGGGACTGGGTGAGAATGAGGGTGCCTAACATCCTTTCCAAAGGCTGTGCCAGGACTGGGGATGGGTGAAGGGCTTCGTAGGCTGCCCACTCAGGCTTTCTGGTGAGCCTGTCCCCAGCCTCAAGTAGCCCTCATCAGGGGACCAGCATTGTAAGCTGTGGATACCACTTGACCCTCTGGGGTCAGTAGTGACACTGGGGAGGCCCGAGTGAGTGCCTGTCCTGTAGGGAAGTGGGACTAAAATTGTGACCCAGGAATTCAGGCTGGGAACTGGAAGTAGATGGCCCTGGGCATACCTGGGGAAGTGATGGCCCAGACCTGGAGGGAGGCACCAGCAATGTAAAGGGAGCAAAGTGGTACAGGGGATGTACAGAGTACGGTGGGAGCCCAAAGGAGAGGCTCCCAGGGGACACAGCCTCTCTGCTGAGACCTGAAGGATGAGGAGGAGTAGGCTGGTCATTAGGACTTGGGATCAAAGGAAAGAATGTTCCAGGTAGAGAACAGCATCTGCAGAAGCGTGGAGGTGAGAGACACCTGGTGCCCGTGAGTACCCCCTGGACATTCCGATGACTTAGGTAGAGTGTGGGTGCGTGGAGGTGAATGTGGGGTAGGCACAAGAGGAAACAGGAAGGGAGCCAAGGCCACTAAGGGTTTGACTGTCGGTCAAGGGGTTGCTATGCGATCTGGCTGGGTGGCGTGATTTGTGAAATGTCCATGTTTGTATGTATCTAGGAGCACATGCCTCCCTGTGTGTCCCTTGCATATCCTTGGGCACATGTGCAGGCTGCAGGAGTAACGTCCCGCTTGTCCCAGCCCAGAGGAAGCTCCTCGCATATGCCCTAACACCCCACTAGGCCTCCAGGTGCTGGAATTCGGGTGTTCAGAGCAGAGGCTACTCAAGGCCACAGAGTGACGAATGCCTAGCTATCTGACTTGTCCACCCACAGGTCCATGCTGGCAGCAAGGCTGCACTGGCTGCCCTGTGCCCTGGGGACCTGATTCAGGCCATCAATGGTGAGAGTACAGAGCTCATGACACACCTGGAGGCGCAGAACCGCATCAAGGGCTGCCACGACCACCTCACGCTCTCCGTGAGCAGGTACGCACAGGGAAGGGTGGGCCAGGATAATTGGGAGGGGGGTGACCTCAGGGGAGGATAAGTTATGGGTGGCCAGCATCCTGGGTATGCTGGGCCTCACAGCCTCTCTGCTTTAGCTCCCAGGCACCCCAGACCTAAGGGGTAGCACTTTCACAGGGGTCTGGCAGGCACTGGATATGGTGATGACTTAAAAAACAGAAGCCCCCTTTAACACTGGGCTGGGCGTGTGTTGGGAGCTTAGGGCAAGGGAAAGCAGCTCAACATCAGGGCTGAAATAAGACCTTGGGTAGCCTCTGGAGGGGTGCCTTCAGTCCTTTCCTCGCCCCTAAGTGACCAGCTTAATGACCAAAGAGGTTACTTGTCCAACACCTCCTTTAGTCCTTGAATCAACTTGATAAAGTAAAACCTAATATAGTCCCCCACTCTACAGATGAGACAACTGAAACTCAGAAAGAGTAGAGGGTACCTGGCCAGCGTAGCTCAATGGTTGAATGTCAACCTATGGACCAGGAAGTCACAGTTCTATTCCCAGTCAGGGCACATGCCTGGGTTGTGAGCTTGATCCCCAGTGTGGGGCTTGCAGGAGGCAACCAATCAATGATTCTTTCTCATCATTGATGTTTCTATCTCTCATTCCCTCTCCCTTCCTCTCTGAAATCAATAAAAATATATATTTTTTTTTCAAAAGGAAGAAAGACTAGAAGGTGCTTAAAGTCCCACAGCCAGGGAGTTGGGAAGTAAAATTTGACCTCTGGTCTCTCTCACTCCCAGAAACCCCATGCCTACTTGGCTGCTGACCACTCCTATTAGCCCCATACCTGCTGTGCCCCAGCTCCCCACTGCGGTCCATGCCTCTGCCCTGGTTACGTCTGGATGGCAAGGCCTATGTAATGTTATACAGCCTCATGAGGGGAGGACTGGCAGTCACTAAGCCCCATCTGTGGCCTCTAGATGGTCTAGGATGGAAGGTCTACCTGGGGCGTCCCATGCCATGCTCAGGCCTGGGTCTTTGCTCAGTTCTGATAACAGTCGGCTGGGTCATGGCTGACTGAGATCTCCCTGCCCCCTGTCTTGCCTGGATCCAGTGAAGTCAGACATAACTGCTAGCTCTGCCACATTCACTGATAACAGGGACTTTCCATGACCCCCTGTGGACATGACTGGGAGAACCTCCCCAAACCACAGTACAGCTAGCCATGTCTTAGAGATGGCAGGAGGGGGCTGATCCATTAAACATGGTGGGAAGGCTTCTGAAGTAGCCCCCATCTGGGTCTGGCCCAGGTCCAGATTGGGGTCAGGGTCCCTGGCTATGCTCTCCGTGCTAAGTGGGTCCAGATGTAAGCCCAGGCCTTGTGCACTCCTCCTGGCCCACAGTGCAGAGGCTCCAGCCTGGGAGTTCAGTGGAGCTGGTCCTCATCCAGGCTCTGGGATCTTAGGTGCCCCAGATGACCCTGTGCTCCTGGGTTTCCTTCCCCATAAAGCAGGATCACATTCATCACCCTCTCCCAGACGGAGGTACAGGCTGGCCTGGGGAAGCGTCAGCACTGCTCTGTCCACGAGTGGCCTCTGAGGCCACCCCACTTGGCTGGGTTCCTGGGCCCTGACTCACCTCTCGCTTGACTCTTCTGGCTGAATAAGGGAAGCCCTGGTGGTGCTGGGGCTGGAGTAGAGGGTGGGAGGTGGGGAGGCTCACAGCAGGCCTGAGTCAGGAGGTTCCCAGAGGCGATGATGTCAGGCAGGGTGGCGGGCTGGGGGCAGGGTGGAGGGCCCCCTTCCTTCCTTCCTTCCCCGGTCATTTGTTCCAAGCCAGGCATGGATGGAGCCCGGAGCCCACTGACTTGTTCCACTGTGGGCGTTTCAGTCCCCAAATGCTGCCTGGCCATGGAGCAGGTGCGAGTCTATACTATCACAATTCCCGTCCCAGCTCTGCACTTGGCAACTGCTATCTTCCACCAAGTGATTTCATCTCAGAGCCCTTAGCTTCCTCGACTCCACAATGGGGACTGTCTTGTGATCCTGGGTTTGAGTGATGATGATGTACCAAGCCTGCTCGGTCAGGGTGAAAACCTGGGGTCCAGTCCTCAGGCACCCTATCCTCAATCATCACACATGCAGATTCTGGGGGATCGATACACAGAGGCCCTGATAGCTCTCTGGGCCACCATCTCTTCTCCTGGGCACCTTCTCACCTGTAAGACCCCTGACTCTGCTCTCTCTCCTGCCAGGACCTATGCTATGCTTGGGCCCTAAGGGCCCCCCTCCCCAACATGGGCTCTACCCAGTCCAGCTTCCCTACCTGGCCTCTGTGTACAGAGGGCTTTTATCCTCCACAGACTTCTCCGTAGGATGAGAAGTGAAATAAATGCCCAGTTTCCCTGCTATGCTTATTTTGTCTGGAACTCAAAGCCAGGTGTCTAACAATTCAAGCTTACCCCCACTTTCTGGGCATGCACTGTAGATCCACGACTTTCCTGGCATCAGCTCCAACCCTGGGGCCTCTGGTGAGGACTCTGTTCCCCATAATGTGCAGTACAAGATGCTTTTGCACAGCCCTCCTTTTGGCTGTCACTTTGCCTAAAGATGGCAGACGGAGTCACCTCCCCAGCCTGAAGTGAAGGTGTGGAGATGCAGGTTGACACATGAAGAAGCCCTTCATTCTGATCTGATTTCTTGAGCCACCCTCAGGGCTCTGGGACTTTGGTGCTCTCTGACCTTCAGACTTCAGACTTGTACTTCTCTTCTGGGCAGAACTTCAGGGAAGTATAAGGCTGATAGCCACATGGGATGTCCTTGGTTTATCCCCAGAGTTCTCAGTGGATGGAGGCCACAGAGAGAGCTGTGAGTTGGGGCAGTCCCTAGGTAGCCTGGCAAAGAGGGCTGGAGCCAGGTGCCAGTAGTGGTGGTGTTGCCCTGGGCAGCAGAGGTTGGTGCCACAGACCTCCAGACATCTGTGGGGGAGAGAGGTAGTTTGCAGGAGGCAGAGGAATGGACAAAGGCAAAGGTGAGGACGGGATAGTGCAGAGGCCCCAGTTCTTTGACCAGGCAAAGGCGAGGAAGTGCAGAGTGGGTGCGGACTATAGGTCTGTGAGTGGGGAGAGAGGTAGGATTGAGCAGCTGGCCCAGGACCTCAAGAAACCCCAGGAAGTGGATGCAAAGTAGAAGCCCCAAGAGGCTTTTGAGGTAGAGTAAAGACATTATTCCCCTTTGGTCTAACTAGCCTCACTTCATACCCACCAGCTAGTCCAAAGTCCATGCACCCCTGGCCTGCCTTCCCACAGGGCTACTGAGTGGTAGGACTGGGCCCCAGGCCAGTAGCCTCCAGGCCTGTCTGCCCTGCTTGTGTCAGGTTAATGATGTTTTTTTCCCTCCTGAGTGGTGTTTGGCTTTTGGTTTCTATGGTGAAGCAGGAATTTCCTAATGGCCTGTTTCCCATCTGGGCTGGGCTGGGCAGACATTGGTGATGACTCTGCCGGCATCAGCAGGAGGGAGGCACATCCCTCAGCCTCCATTCCACCTCCCCCAGAGCCCATGGATGCCTGACCCCCAGGCCCGGCCGGAGGCTGCAGACAGAAGAGGGCTGAGTGGATGAGCTCCCAGCTGATTGATGTGTGAGGCCTGGCTCACTCTGTTGGGAGGTGGCCCTCTTTTTGCTGAGCTTATTTAGGTAGCTCCCTCTCTAGGAATCAGACCAGAGAGAGATGGAGCAGCTGGTAGGGAAGGGACACACAGCCCCATCCCAGGTCGGTGGCAAATCTACAGTCATGTCTCCTTGCCACAACAGCCACCACTCTGGTGGTGGGAAAAGCACTGGGGTAATTTCCTTCTCTGAACAGGGGGTCAGGCCGGGGCCTGCGTGGCTCTGGGCCCAGACCCCAGGCCTTCTTGGTCTTAGTTCCCAGGCAGAGTAAGCAGATACATCTGACCATCCTGATTCCTGCCACAGGCCTGAAGGCAGGAGCTGGCCCAGTGCCCCAGAGGATAGCAAGGCTCAGGCACACAGGATCCACATCGATCCCGAGACCCAGGTACGTAAAGACTCAGAGCAAGCCCAGGGAGAGGGGCCAGGCCTGGCCCACAGGTTTAACTGCATTGGATGTCCTCACCAAGCTCCCAGCTCCCCAGGCCAGACTGAAGCAGGAGGCTTCGCTGGGCCATGCCCATGCCCCATCCTGGGCTCCCCAGGCAATGGGCACCTGTTGGGGATTCTGTCTGTACTCCAGGCAGTCCTGGATTCTGGGACGAAGGTGTCTGTGGTAGGGAGGGACTGGGCCAGGCCTTGACTCAGGGCTACCACCCACCCAGCTGGGTTTCACCCTGGGGCCCAGTGATGCCAGACCAGGAGGAAGTCACCAGGCTTGGGGACAGAGTGGGGACAACCTCAGGCTGTGGGCTGACCGCAGGCAATGGGACATTTTCGTATTTCATCCTGGCCTTGAGTAATCACCTGTCCAGAGCCAACCTCAGGCCACAGGGCTGACCTTTGAATGTAAGGTACATCCTTGCCCTATCCAAGGCTGAAATTTTCTCCTGGCCACCTTGGGATTGCATCTAGCAGACTTCCGGCTAAAGGACTACCTGCTCAGTCACCTCTTCATGTATGACAAGAGTCACAGCCATGGTGCTGTCCTCAAGGAGAGTGAGGGGGGCCAGGCTGTTCTACAACCTCTTTTTGCCATGGGCTTGAGAGGCACCCAGTTGGCAAGACTCCGGTATAAAACAGCCCCACCCAGCTCAGCATCTCTGTGCCACATAGTTTGGGCAAGGTGGAGACTGGACTGGTATGTGATGGAGCCAGAACTGTGGGGCCATCACCTCCTGGGTGCTTGTGTCCACTCTTGCCATGGAGGCTTTGCTGAACTGGAGGCAAGGATCTACTGTGGGCTCTCCCTCACCGTCTATCCCAGTCCTCACCTTGCCTTTGTTGGCATCCTCGAGGCCACATGCTTACCACATGCCAGGGGGTGCCTGTTCTAGAAGGGGCGAGACACGTAGCAGTTCTGGGATAGCAGAAGCCAGGGGTCTAAGGAGTCCATGTGACTCTGTCAGGAGATCAGAGAAGAAGTGGGAGGGGAGAGGTGAGGAGAGGGAGGGGAAGGGGCAGCGTAACAAAGAGGCTCTTGGTGTCCTCTCTCCGGGACTTCCGCTGTTCTTGCAGACTCATGGCCACACCTGTGTCTCAGAAGCTTGCTCTGGTAGTCCCATGAACCCGAGGCTCATGGCAGCTGGGGAAGAGGGAGAGGGGCGGGGGACACAGACAAAGCAACCACACTTGGGCCAGGCAGAGGGGAGCAGCATAGCACAGCCCTCCCACTCATGTGTGGGGCTCGTGCCAGAATGGATAGGACAGAGGGGCCTGAGCTTGCTCTGTTCGGTCTCCAGGAGAGGCTCAGGGCCAGTGGACCTGGGGGGCTGAGGGCTGGGCCCAGAACCCAGGCCTTCTTGGTCTTAGTTCCCAAGCATAGTAAGCAGATACAGCTGACCATCCTAATCACCCCACACTGTCCCTCCCTGACCTCTTCGAGGACCAGGCTGCTGAGGCTGGAAGTGAAGGGATTTTCCACAAGCAACAAGGCAGCCCCTCCGCTGCGGCCCGCCTTTTGTACTTAAAAGGTCATGAGCTCCATGGGTGGCGAAAGAAACACCCCCACCCCATCCCTGCAGGACCGTATCCTCAGTAACACAGACACAGGGCCCATTGTCCCACACTGTCCCCACCCTCTGCCTACAGGGGAGGAGGGTGGGCCCAGCTGGAAGCCCTCGGAGGAGGAGAAAACCACAGTTGGCCCTAAGACCAGCACTAGCTACCCTGGCACGCACGCCCACGGGGGATGCGGCCGGGCCAACAGGAGCTTCAGGCCCACCTTCCTTGTCGGGTTATAGGCGACTCCCCTCTCAGGCCTCCGTGGGGGCGCAGGAGGCACTTGGTACAGCCCAGAGCGGAGGAAGGATGGTGATAAGGAAAGGTTGCCTGGAGAGGATGGCATTTAAGCTGAGAACCAGGTGATGGGTTGAGGCAGTGGTTCTCAATCTTCTGGCCCTTTAAATACAGTTCCTCATGTTGTGACCCAACCATAAAATTATTTTCGTTGCTATTCATAACTGTAATGTTGCTACTGTTATGAATCATGATGTAAATATCTGATATGCAGGATGGTCTTAGGCAACCCCTGTGAAAGGGTCGTTCGACCGCCAAAGGGGTCGTGACCCACAGGTTGAGAACCGCTGGGTTAAGGCACGCGTGGTGGAGCAGGCAGCCCTTGCACACTCATCCTGTTCTCTCCAGGCTGGCAGAGAGCTGGAGCTTGGATTCTGGAAGGTGCCATCTACCCATCTGGACTCGGCACCTACCTCCATCCAAACTGGGTGGCGGTGAGAGGGGTCCTTCCTCCAGGATGACTGGGCCCCACCCTACAGCCAGGCTGCTCTGGCCACCAACCTCATTCCAGCCACGGAGGCCGCCATCGTCCTCCCCAGGGTGACCAGCACTGGCTCTGTGTATATATGTGACTCAGTGTGTGTGACCAGGTTATGTAGGTGGATTGGCTGGTGTGTGTTGTCTTCATGCACACGTACTTGCCAGAGTGTGTGTGCCTGTGTTCACATTGCTGTGGGCATGTTTGCCTGCAGCCGGGGCAGCACAGCCCTGGACTCTGCAGAGACAGAGATTCCTAGACCCCATTCAGACCCATGCCCATAAGAAGACTCCTCATGAGCTGAGGAGGCATGTGCAGGGCACTGCTCCCCAACATGTTTCAGCCATGGACATCAGCCTGGCCGTGGCGTAGTGGGCTGGGGAGGCTTGAACCCTGGCCCTGCCTCGGGCCCTCATCTGCTGTGCCTACAGAAGGCCACCTTTTTAGCCTGGGAAGCAGGAAATGGGGGCAGAGGTACAAACCTAGAGGAAGCTGACCTCACAATGGCACATGCAAACCTCAGCCTTCCTCCCCAAAGGTCCTTGGGCACACAGTGATTGGTGGCCCTTCCTGGCTAGAGGACAGAAGTTCCTTTTTTGTTTCTAGCCATGGACCCATCCAGTATCCAGGACGGTTCTGGCAAGTAGGAAGTTTTGGCACCAGGACCACCTCAACAAGGAAGCCATGCACACTGGCCTCAAAAGAGTTTCTTGGGAGGCCCCCGCCCCAACACCATCCCTCACGGGCACTGTGGTCAGAACCACCACAGGGCTCATGAGCCAAGTCTGAGTCTCAGGTCTGCAGGGTTTTGTGCTGACTTCCTACAGGCATTTCTCATTTCGGGGTGGGGGATGGGGGACTGAACCAGGCCTAAGGCTCAGCCCTTCCCCCACAGACTCCCTCCCTGGCTGGGCACCATCACCCAGAGATGCCAGAGCAGGGATAGCCAGCCAGCATCCAAGAATGCCTGGCATAGCGGAGGGGGTAACTGCTAGGAGTGGCCAGAGGCCCAACCCCAGAGGGTCTCCCAGTACCTCAGACCTCTCTCTCTCCTAGGATGGCAGTCCAGTGACCAGCAGGCGGCCCTCAGCCACAGGGATTGGTCCAGAAGATGGCAGGCCAGACCTGGGATCTCCTTATGGGCAGTCACCTCTCCTCTCAGTCCCTCACAATGGCAACAGCAGTGAGGCCACCTTACTGGCCCAGATGAGCACCATGCATGTGTCTCCACCCCACAGGTAGGACTGGACACGGGGTTTCTGCAGCCACACCTAGATCCCATCTTAAGCCCTGACCCCTCAGATCTCACCAGGTTCCATCCTGACCCTGATACTTGATGCGTGGATCTCAGCTTGCTTGCACACTGACCATGAAACTTTCACCAGGCCTCTGAGCAGGCAGAGTGAAGGTTGGCACTGCATCTCTTTTGCCCAGCACTGACCCAGGCAGAGGCCTCCCGCGGAGCCGTGACTGCGGAGCCCACAGGGGTTCCGAGGTGTACCGGATGCTGCAGGAGCCTGCCGAGCCCCTCGCGCCCGCGGAGCCCAAGCAGTCAGGTTCCTTCCGCTACCTGCAGGGCATGCTGGAGGCTGGCGAGGGCGGTAAGACTCCAGCCCCTTCCCCCATCTGCCTCCCCACTCCTGGTGTTCGGGGATCGACCCCTCGCTGCGCCATCCCTGGCACGGCCCTTGCCCCGAGCTCCCCAAACCCCATCCCCAGCCTGTGTGCCGGGGGTCCCGAAAGCCGGGCTCAAGAGCTCAGCCCCACACCCCACAGAAGTGAAGTTTTCCCCTTTTTTTCTTTTTTACCTCCGCCCCTCCGCACCTGGCTCTTGCCACCTGCGCTCGGGCTTTCAGGGGAGCGGCAGGGACCTGGCAGCCCCCGGAACCTGAAGCCCACGGCCGGCAAGCTGGGAGCCCCACTGAGCGGCCTGCAGGGGCTGCCGGAGTGCACACGCTGCGGCCACGGCATCGTGTGAGTATCTGCCCTGCCTGCCCCACCTCGACCCCAGCTCTCCCCTGCCGCGCCCCACCCACGCCCGGGACCCGGCAGGCTCCGGAACCTGCATCCCAATGCTGCCCTCTGCCGGCCTCCCACCAGGGGTACCATCGTCAAGGCGCGGGACAAGCTGTACCACCCCGAGTGCTTCATGTGCAGCGACTGCGGCCTGAACCTCAAGCAGCGCGGTTACTTCTTTCTGGATGAGCGGCTGTACTGCGAGAACCACGCCAAGGCGCGCGTCAAGCCTCCGGAGGGCTATGACGTGGTGGCAGTGTACCCCAATGCCAAGGTGGAACTCGTCTGAGCCGCTCCTGTAACCCCACCCCCCACCTCTGCTTCTTTTAATGCCCCGTGCGGCCCGTGTAAATATGCGTCTGCCCCTGCCTCTCTAATAAACTCTCTCTGCTGGGCCTCGACCATGTCAGTGCCTTCGCCTACCTCTCTCCAGTGCAGGCCATGGCTCCCGAGTGCCAGCTGTTCAGAATCCAAGCATGTCCTGGGCACTGGATGCAATGGAGAGCAAGACAGGCACTGTGCTGTCCCAGGAGGCCACAGCCTAGATGGATGGCAGACATGAGTCACAAGTTCTGTTCAAAGGGAGGCGAATGAGGTCTGGGGTGCCGTGAGGTGACGTCATGCCAAGGGATCTGACCTTCGTGGAGTCAGGGAAGGTGTCAGCTGAGAACTAAGGAGGGAAGAGCCGTACAGCGTGAGGAACTGTGTGTGCAAAGGTGTGGCAGAGGCGAGCACACACAGGAAAGGCCCGGTCTTGCCACCGGCATGAGCGCGGGCACCCCTAGCAGCCAGAGGAGGATTGCCCCTCGGGGTGTATGACGGGGAGAGTATCTGTCTCCCTGCATTCTCAGAAATCTCCCTTCGGGTGTTTCCTTTCTCCCTTTTCTACTCTCCTTTCCCCTCTCTCACCACCAGGGGGCGCGCTCAGTGGGGAGGTGGTGAAGAAGGGCGGAGATTTTAGAACACCCGCCTAGGGCCGCACCCTTCAACCTCTCCAAAGTTGAGAGTAAACACCCAATTCAGAGGTCAGTTGTTGTTACAGTGTGCGCGAGGCAGCCTCGATCTTTTCGCAGCTCGGTAGCATGCATCCCGGTGGAGAGTCTCACGTTTAAAAAATATTAATGCTGCCAGAACGGGGAACTGTGGCTGCCCCTGGACTCTGGGTCATGTGCATCTCCCCTCTCCTTAGCTTGCTCCGGACTAGAAGCAGCTTGTTTACTTAGTCCCGTTTCATGTAGTGAACCCGAATAATATGCGTTTGTGCTATTGTCAATGTTGTACTATTGCAAACCACAAAAGTCTTATCAATTCACACTCTCACCATCAGCACAGGGCAGTACTCATTTCCTTGCACTCTTGCCAACACAGGACTTTTTTTTTGCCAATCTAAGTAACATGCGATATGTAGTTGCTTTAAGTTGCATTTCTCTTATTACCAGTGATGAGCATTCACTCAAATATATATTGAGTTTGTGGGTGCTGAGCTAACAGTGGGGAGCAGAATGGTCTTCTCCAAGAGTTCTTGGGGGGGAAATGCTCTAAACCAGCGGCTCTCAACCTGTGGGTCTCGACCCCTGAAAATACATTCTGCGTATCAGATATTTACATTATGATTCATAACAGTAGCAAAATTAGATATGAAGTAGCAACGAAATTAATTTTATGGTTGGGGGTCACCACAACATGAGGAACTGTATTAAAGGGTTGCAGCATTAGGAAGGTTGAGAACCACTGCCGGTAAACCCTTTACTCTTTTTACTGAGGTTTAACTTC